TGATGGGGCGCACAACTGTTTTGAATACTTTCCGAAACGATGCCATCGAGCCCAGCACACTAAGAGATGATGACATGCGCTTCATGCCGTTGATGGAGCATTTAAGCGAGCCAAAGATAGCTGTCTTGATTGTGGCATTCACATGCGCTGCGCAATCCAAATTCAAATGCTGATGACCTGGCATGTCGAGGACGCGGATTCCTCTCTCGGACATCTTATTCGTGGGGGCCCTGTCCAGACACGTGCCGCGAAACTCCTGGCTGAACAATCGGCTGCGCAACGACTTTCCAGAGCAATTGTTCACACACTGTCTAAGATTTGCGCCAGTACACTTGTCAACAACTTGCAATGCATTTGGCTGGTCACCACCAAGAACAATCCATGACACCTCCGATTCTGATGGCCCCAGTCGCTTGGTCACTCGCAATAGCATTGAGAATGCAGTGCGTATTTGTATGAGTTTCATCGGCCCTGTCTCCGACGAAGAAAGCGCACACAACTGTACTGGAAGCGAGGCTGGTAAGAGTTGCTCTCCATCGAAACTGCCATGAATGCCTAGCTTGATTGCATCTGCGAGCCGATCTCTACCACCTCCACGCCAAAAGTCTTCGAATCGCAACGTGTGCGGTGATTCGTCGTACATACAGAACTCAGCGTAATGAATGGGCTCAATTTTCACATCGTGGCCGTGATGTAGAGCTGCTGGCGTAGTAGCTGCGATCTCCAACATTCGTCGCTCTCGAGTGGCAGCCGCAAGCAACACGCAGGCACCGTCCATAATCGAATCCTTGACCGAGTGACGGTCCATCTTGTGAGTCTTGCCAAGGAGCAAAGTCCCAACGACAGTGTTGTCAAATTGCGGGTCCAGCCGATGATATAATAGATCGAAGATGTTGCTGTCCATATTCGTTCCCGCGTGCTCTGCCAACCGAACCCAATCGTCAACAAATCCAGATAAACATCTAGGAACACATAATGGTAGATCCTCAGACAAAATCTCACGAATCGAATCAGCTCCAATGGGCGGGATCGCGACGTTGACCCTCTGTGCCCCTGGCTGGATGATCACGGGCGCGGCGTCGGCCTGAGGGTCAGCGGCGGCAGGGCGCCGCACTTGACCACGGCCTCTCCCAGGGCCTCTGGGAGCTCGGCCGACGCCGCGCCCTCTGGCCGCTCGACCGCGGCCCCTCGCAGCACCATCGGCCGCAGCCGCGCCCAACAGGCCATGTCCAGCCCCACCGGGCATATATGAAGATATGAAGAATGCTCCATACAAGAAATAAAACGTATGAATAATGCTCCACAACATCTGAATGAGACAAAGTGGCTGTGTGGAATGCATGGTGTCGCGAACTCTCCGCAGTCATCCTGGCCCCGACGTGCCTCCTAGAAACTCCATGGCCCAAGACGCCCGCCCCGATCAGACCGCCCCCAAGACACGGCACCTAATGAGACGGCCCCCGTATGACGGGGCCCCAAGAGACGCCCGCCCGACGAGACGGCCCCAAAAGAACGCCCTCCCCGACATAGCGGCCCACAAAAGACGGCGCCCAAGACGGCCCCCAAGAGACAACCCCCAAGAAACGCCCCCCCCGATAAGACGCTCCAAACTCCTGGCCAAGTCCTGGAGACGGCCTCCCACGACGGCCCACCGATAAGGTTCCCTAGACACTCCCCCAAGACAACCTCCCACTACAACCCTCCTAGCTTCAGGCCGTGCTACGCGAAGCGTTGATCTATCCGAGGGCGATGTAAGTGCACTAACCTGCACGGGGTATGCGACAACATCACGTTCCACATTGCGGTCCTCACGGCCCTGAAACGGCATGTTGAAGAGACGGCCCGAACACGTTCAGACGGTCCAACCCTTCTGAGGCAATCGTCACAGGCCACAGTTGGAGCTCACGATTGGGACACGAAACGTGCGAGGGGCGTGCCATCGTGTGGCGGTGAACGCATGAAGGCACTTCCACATGATGCACGCCACTGGAGCATGATGAGGACAATGATGATGACGCCACTGGAGCATGTGTCTGGGTCAACGTGATGGTGCACGCCGCTGGAGCATGATGATGCACGCCACTGGCGCATGATGATACACGTCAAAATTATCATGTACCCAACTGGAGCATGTGCGCGGTTCAACGTGACGCATGTTAATGGAACATAATGAGGACGACAATGATGACGATGACAATGACGATGACGATGACGATGGCCATGGGGTTGATAATGATGATAATGATAATGATGACGATGGTGGTAGTGATGGTGGTAATGGCTATGATGGTGATGATGGAAATGATGGTGATGATGACGACGAAGATGACAAGGAGGACATGTGGAGGGCAGAAGCACGGATGGGACGTATCGCTGGGACGTATCCCATTTGTGACACATTGCTTGCGAGATCGCTGATGGACAACAGCCCCGCTACCAGAGTCATGTAGAACGCGGCGCATGTGCAGTTCAGAGGCCACGCGATATCCTAACAAAAGCACCATGGCACGCGCGGCGTGCAAAAACAAACACGATGGGCACCGCCAAGCGCTGTTCCTGCTACCTCATGGGTTGCGCGTTGTTTCTTGGGGTGCGCGTGGAATTGTGCGCAAGCGCATTGATTGGGCAGCGCAGTGCCATTCTGGCATTTCCTATTGACCTTTTAATTTGATGCGCGATTCTGGCACATGCAATTTATAACCATGCGGCGCTTGAACGGAAACCAAAAAAAACGAAAACAATCATCGAAACACCATGCAATTCCACGATCACGAAAACCATTTTTTCAGCATTTCCCAAGAGAAGGCCCAGAGGAGGACAGAACCATCCTAAACTCCTGGAGTAATGCGCGCGTGGCGTGTGCAGACTGCAAGCGCCTCGGGCTCGCAGTGCGCAGCTGGCTAGCGTAGTTTTCACCGCGGTGGCGCGTGCAACAGGAAACTCCCGATATTGGCGTCTGCCGGAGGGCCGATTGTCATGCGGTCCGCCGAAAGCGGTGCCCTGAAGCGGAAGTCGCGCGGATGATCGCTGTTCAAAGAAATTATCGGGGGCGCGTGCCCGGATGCCGTCGAGCGTGTCGCGGGCGAACTCTCTGTGGGGGAAGGCGACGACGAGGGCGCAAATGATAGGAGGCATGCATGGAGGTGTCACAGAGCAGAGCAGAGCATATTCTATCACAACACACTGCCATGTTTGTAAGCAAACTGGAGCATCCTGCAACCGGAAATAGCAGCAACAGTAAATCATAGTATCGCAACATCGTATACCGTACCATCACCCACTCAAACGCGACAGGCGCGCCGAGGCCAGGTTGGTCAGAGGAAACACGAGCTGCAGCAATTACCGATTGGACGGCCGGCGCATCTAATTTGACAATTGTCGCGGCGACGCTGGCCCGCCGACAAGACATAATAAAGCAAACCCGACTGGAACATTATTATACATGTCGTGTTGACAACATGTATCTCGCAAAATTGTCATTCAGTATATATGCACGATCAGAGCACAACACTGGAGAACACAGCATGTCATGACAGACGTTTACAAACTGAGCATCCTTGAAATAGTACCACTGTGCATATCATAGTATACCATGTCCTGACATATATTATCATGTCGTACGAGGGTTCCACAACACCGAGCAGAGCATAACATATCAACGCGTAGTGGACACATATGAGCATAGCTGACCACATTTGAACAGAAGAGACAACAACAATGACCAGGAAGTCCTGTTTGTCCTGCTGCTGCTGCTCCTCACCCTTGTGCTCTTTCAACAAGCAGCACATTCTCTCCGAGTGCGTCCCGTGGCTGAGATTCCCGAACACCGCGCGCATCGTTCCAGTATAGGCGCTCGCATTGTCGGGAACAAACGCCGGAGTTTTCGGCGGGAATCGTTCGACGCAGTGTATTGTTGAATTTGGAGTTTCCCCGCAGGGCTTTTACCCAGGTTTCTTGCGAAGGAAATTCTTGCACCTTGCGAGGGCGCTGCGCTCTCGACGCCCATCAATTGCCGTTTCGCACGAGACTTGTCACAATTTGTTGAGGATTCGCGCTCTCGCCTCAAGCTTTTTGCAATGCGCGATGTTCGCGCAGACGTCCTGCCAACACGACCCGCCCGTTGGGGCCCGCCCGCCCGACCCGCGTGAGAGAGTTTGCCCGCTCGACCCGCCCGTGAGGATCAGCCCGTTCGCTTTCTTGGAAGGCCGCCCGCCCGCTCTGGTGTTTCCCCCGACCCGCCAGTGAGGGGATGCCCGTGCACGTGCTTGGAAACCTGGGAACCTGTCTACCCGCTTTGAATCCCCTGCCCGCCCGACCCGCCCGTCAGGGTGCGCCCGCCCGACCCGCCCGTTAGGGCCAGCCCGCCCGACCCGCCCGTCGGATTAAATTTTGTTGGCCCTTAATCATCCTTCTGTCTCCCTGCCCCTATCTTTTTCGTGCCCTCGCCCTCTTCTGTTTTTTCCGTCTCCCATGCCACCAAAAGGATTATGGTCGAAGACGAAGAGGGCGGGTATGGAGGGTTGGGGGTATACGCGCATGGTATATTATGACACGCGAGCAACGCAGAGCGAAGGGTCTTAACTGGTTGTTGGTTTTATTGCTGGATTCGGAGGAGGAGGAGGCGGAAGGGGGAGGAGGACGAGGAGGAGGAGGAAGAGGAGGAGGAGGAAAAGGAGAAAGGAACGGGAACGACGATGAGGGGTTAGCGGAAATGGCAGACGCGACGGGCGAGGAGCATGGGGAGGGAAGGGAGATAGAGGGGAAGCGGGGGGAAGCGAGGATGGGCGCAGAAAGGAGGAGGAGGATGAGCAGGAGCAGGAGGAGGAGGAGGAGGAAAAAGGGGAGGATGAGGACGAGAAGGAGGGGGAGAAGGAGGATGAACAGGAGCTCGGAACTCGGGGTCCTCAAAAATATTGTAGCGCGGTTCCTTTGCCAATGGCGTGCGGCTCTCGAGGCCAGTCTGCGGCCCATCAGGTGGGGAACGTGAAGGGGGGTCCGGTAGCCATTTCGGGGTGCTCAAACGGACGTATGCCCCCGTCCGCCATGGCGCGGTGGGACCTCATCGCGTACCTAGTGAGGTATGCGGGCCCATCGCTGGAGGCCAACCTCAAGACGGAGGCCGACACACTGCTGCCGTACCTGGCCCTGGGGCTCCTGCGCGGACAGGAGTACGGCCCCTGGTACAACCCGCTGGTCGCCACCGAGGAGCGCGTGGGAACCCCCGTGGTGCTGGACGTCGGGGCATACGACGGCGACTTCGCCTCCGAGGTGCTGCGCACGATGGCCCGGGTGCACGACCCACCACGCAGCGGCCGGCGGCTGAAGCAGGAGGTCCGCCTGGTGTCCGTCGAGCCCCACCCGGCGGCGTTCCAGGAGCTCCGGGAGAGGGCCCAGGCGAGCGGCTGGGGCGACTCTGCCTTCTGCGCCCTGAACGTGGCGCTGTCCTCGGAGGCGCCCGGCCGCCGCCAGAGGCTCGTCGCCCCGCGTGGCCACCACGGCTCCCGGCAGGCGGCGCACCTCGCGAGGGCGGGGGAGGCCGCGGCGCCAGGCGAGGAGGAGGTGGAGGTGGAGGTGCTCACCGCGGACGGGCTGTTCGCGGAGGGGCGGTGCGGCCTGCGGCCCTCGCAGCCCGTGTTTCTGCTGAAGGTGGACTGCGAGGGCCACGACGGGCGCGTGCTGCGCGGCGCCGGCCGGCTGCTCGCTGAGGGCACGGTCAAGTACGTGCTGTTCGAGCACATGGGAGGGTACGACTCGGAGGGCGTGGAGCCCATCCTGGACTTGTTGTGGGGGCACGGCTACGGGTGTTTCTTCGTGCTGGACCGCCTCCTGGTGCCCGTGAGCGGGGGTTGGTTTCACCACGCCTGGCGCGACAGGACACGGGGCGGCCTGGTGTTCAACGTGGACGTGCTGTGCGCGCGCCCGCGCGACCGGGACCTGCGGGCTCTGGTGGAGGGCTACGTTACGCACGGGCACGCGGCCCGTGCGAGGGACGTCGTGCTGCGGGCGGTGGAGGACTGGAAGGAGGCGCAGCAGCCGGAGCCGCGCGCGGGCGGCGTCCGCGGGCTGCACGCGCTGGATTCGAAGATGCGGCTGGGCAGCAACGACCCTGCCGCCGGGGCCCTCTTCGCGGGCGACTTGCTGCGGCACGGCTACGGCGCCAGCCCCTCCCGCGTCGACCTGAGGCGCGCTCTCGGGTGGTTCCGCCGCGCCGCGGGCGCCACGGGCGACACCGCGTTGGGGAGGAGCTGGGCCGTGGAGGCGGCGGCCGTCGAGGTGGGCACGTGCTTTCACTTCGGCGACTGCGGGGCCCCGCGGGACCTCGACCTGGCCGCGGCGTGGTACTCCAAGGCCGCCAGCATCTGGTGGCCTTCGGCCCATCACTCGAATAAGACAAGTCTGCGTCGTAAGCACAACCTTTCGGAGACCCAGGCGGATTTCTTGGATCTGCGCTAGAGGGAGGCGCCTCCAGCGGCGCTCATGGCGCGCTCCGCGCGGCAGAGGTCGGGTCCAGCGAGGATTCAAGACATCCACGCGGACCTCTGAAAGTTTATGTTTATGCCTTTTACTGTTCCTCTAACCTGGCCAGCGTTCTTGGGTTGCAGGTCAGAAGCCTCCGGTATGCCTGTGGGGAATATTTTGAGATGTCTCTCGGAAGCCTCCCGGCGGCTGCCTTGGGGTGTGGTTTGAGCCTTTGGTGGGTTTTCTAGAGCTTCGTCTCTGGGGTCATCTTGGGGCGGGGGGCTCGAGGTGTCGGTTCTTTCTCCCTCTCTGGGGCCTCTCTTGGGCTCCTCTTGGGCCGTCTTGGGAGTCTCTTGAGCCGCCGTAGGCCCTCTTGGGCCGTCTGGGGCCGCTTTCGGTGGCCTCTTGGACCTTAGTGGAACGATCTTGGGGGCCTGTTGAGCCGCCTTTGAGCGTCGAAAGCCCGAAGAGGCGTTCTTGGGCTGTCTTGGGGTCATCTAGGGTGTCTTGGAAAACTCTTGGGCCGTCTCGAGCCCCTTGTGTACCCTCTTTGGGGCTTCTTGGAGCCCGCTTGGCCCGTTTCGGAGCCCGCTGGCTTTGGAAAAGTCACGCGGGGACACCTGACAACACGCAGAACGTCCTGGAGAATCGGGCAGTTGAGCGTCCGCGCCCCAAAATCTTCAATCTTCAGGACTGAAAGCGCAGTGCTGAAGGGGCCTGAGGACACTTCAACTCGTGCCTCGAGTCGAGGGAAGAAACACTCTGACCATGACCACCATGTCGCGGGAGCTTTCGACGCCAATCCATGGTCCATGCCGGCCGTCGCCGACTCGCGGGGATGATCCACGAGTCGACGGTGACCAAGATGGACGGTGACCAAGATCTACACTGACGTTTCCGCACTCAGTATTGGTCATGGGTTTCTTCCCCTCCTTCGCGGCACGGTGGCGGATACAGGGCTTGTTGCTGCAGGAGCTAGCGAGGCTGGAGCGCAACGCGACCACGGCCGCGGCGGACCGCCCTGCCAGCGGTGCCGCCACGGCGGCGCACACTGCGCCGCCGGCCACCGCCGCCGCCGCGCCCGCTGCGCGTGCCGCGGCGACCTTCGCCGGCAGCGGAGAAGAGCTGCGCCGTCGGGGACGCCGAAACGGGGTCAGTCAACCCACTTCGATCCGCTCTGGCTTGAAGCTGCCGCTGGCAACTGTTTGCCTCCCCTTCCCGCTTTCACGCTCGCACCGCGCTGCCCGCAGGTCGCCCACGCCGAACGCGCCACATCCCATTTCGCCAGCCGTTGGGCCCAGAGTGTCATGACCAACCGCCGCACGCACACATTTCCAGAGCAGCCCTGTGGCGCGGGGCAGCCGCGCGCCCGATGCGCCGCGTGCTGACGGGGAGGGGATGTGCCAGGAGGACAGGTTGAGGTCAGGGGAGGGGGGAGAGGCCTGCGCCGCCACCCTCTGCACGCCCCTCTCCAGAGGAATGCCGTGACGCGGATGAGCCCCCTCCGACGGCGCCCCGCGCCGCTGGAAGGGTTTTTTCCAGATCTTGGCGGTTCCCTGTCTCGGCTGGCTCCCCCCCCTGGTTTTGTTCTGGGGTGGCGTTTCCCCCCGTCCCCTTTTCACAGGATCAGACCCCCTCGCTTGGCTACGCAATCCTTAAAGCTTCGCGTGGGTCCACTCACCCATTCAGGAACGATGCCCAGGGGAGCTGCCCTTATTCGGGGAACGTGGTGTATTTTGGATACCTCGGGGAGCTTCAGTGAACTGAGGATACTTGGATACCTCTCGGAGTCGCTTGGGATGTCTCTAAGGGCGTCTTGTGAGCCTCGATGGGCCTCCTGGTCTGGGGCCTCTTGGGGCTCTCTTGGGAGCCTTGGGAGGCCGTTTCTGGATCATCTTGGAGGACATCGATCAAACACGGGGGACTCCTCAATTAGCGTTGCCCCTCTGGAGCCTCCAAAATCGCCTGTTGAGGCTCTCTTGGTGCGCTCTTGGGCGCTCGTGGGCCCGTCTTGGATCCCTCTTGGGCCCCGCTTTGGTCTCTCGTGGACCCTTTCGGAGCTATCTTCAGGCCTCGGAGGCAACTGGAAGCGAACGGGCGACAAGACGCACGCACTTGATTAGTCATAGGTGTTGGAATGATTTTGGCCTTCTGGGGGCGTCTTGCGGAGCCCCCGAGGGCGCTAGGACCCGTCTTGGAGCGGTCTTGGGATCTCTTGGAGTATTTTAGAAGTCATCTTGAGCGACCTCGCGCTACCTCGAGCCGTCTTGGAGGCCATCGTGGTCTAGGGACCCTCTTGCATTCTACAGTGAGCTGAGGACACAGGTGAGTGGAAGCGAACGTGGGCCCGCGGCCGCTTGGCTCAAAGCGGCTGGCCGCCCAAATCTGGCTACACCTCAGTGCGAGGTGTACCATTCGCCATCGAGACCGAAAACATCCTTCGCTTGAGATGGCCCGTCGCTCCCGCGACGGCCTACTACTGGGACTATCGCTACGACGATACAACAGAGCTGGAGCTGGGTTCCGCCTAAGGCGAAGCTGCTGGTTGGGCCCCCCAGCCCCTTTCAAACTTGGTAGCGGAGCTGGCCGGTGGTGGTCAGCTCTTTGCTCTACTCCTCACCATCCACGGCACTATCTGGCGGACTACTGACGTGGTGGAACATCAGGGTGCAGTGGGTTTGCGCGGAGGAATGTATAGAACTACGCAACATAGCAAGGACATTTGCAGTGATACCTCTGCCTACGCAGAGGCCTCTTGCTCGCGTCCTGCATGCCTGCGCTACTACACTCCTGAAGTCCACCCACCTACTCCAATTGGAAACTTCTTCGAAGACATGATGCGTGTAAACATGCGATACGACATTGTGCCGCCTCCACCCCCACGCAGGCTTACGACCGCACGCCGCACACCCCAACCAACCACATCCGACTACGACCTACGAGGCCACTGGATTGGTATAGCTATATTTGGGCTCACATGGGTTGCTATCGGGTGTGCGGTGGTACATATGCGTGGCGGAAACGACGCAAGAACGACCAGCCCCCAATCGGGCCCGTCCGGTCAAGTACCTTTCCGCGAATTCGCTCGCGAGGTGCATGCCGGGATCAACGTGACCACAGGCAACGTGGCGCCCTTCCCAACGAGCTCAGCCTTGCAGCGTGGCTTGGGGGGCCTCACACGGACCATAGCCATGGGAGTTCCCCCGGCAGTTATCAATTTCGGCGTTAACATAGGTGGCCGATGGCGCCACCTACATCATGTTCCTGTTGAGTACAAGGTTCGAGAACTTAGACGAGGAACGCCAACTCAGCTTTGGCACAGCTCTCACTGACTTCCGAGTCCATGCGGGAGAACGAACCGACCAGACTCTGGCACGCTTCGAGATAGCCCGTTATGAAGCTGAAACGGCAGGCTTTAACACCCCCAACTCAAAATTCTAGCAGTCATTTTCTTCGGAGCCCTTGGAGTGGGGGCGGCGCGTGCACAGCAACTCCTGCAACAGTGAAACCACCGCGTGCCGAGGGGCCAGCAACAATTTGATTCTTTACTTGAACGCATGAGGTCATATGCTCACACTGCCCGGCAATATTGGTGGCATCTTCAGTCGCGGTCACCGAGCCGAGACCTTCCACGTTGAGGCGAACGCAGCGCAACCTGCTAATAACGTCTGGAATGACGATCCGCAACCAACAGAGACCACCGCACGACTGACTCAGAATGGTGGTTCGGCCTCGGCGTCGCAAGACTCCTGGGCCACGTTTCGGAGGCCGCCCGATGTGGCGGCCCCGGCGCAAGCCACAACCCGAATGGGCTCAGCGGGGCAAACTGATGAGTCCGACTTCGACTCTGGGACCGACGCCGACGCGTCTTCGGGCGACGAGGCCACCGTCCTGGACTACTCCGACATGCCCACGTACCTCGCGGAAGAACAACAGGCGCAATGGTTACTCCTAGGACACCAGAAACATTAACGCATTTGGAGGCGATTTATGAAGAAGCAAGTTCGCAAGGCACGGCGCACTATCCGACGGACACTCAGAGCGAAGGGCAAGGGCCGAGGCAAGGGTAAAGGTGAACGCCGGCGACTGCATGGCAGAGGCATGCTAGCATTTCTAGCGCCCCTTCACTGGACCACAATATGGAGAGATGTTCTGGGGTGCCGGCAGGAACCGTAGGCATACATCAGGAAACGGTGAGGGACGTCGGGGCACTCCGAAGGGTGTGCGAACGGTCGAACTATGGAGTGCGACATCTGCCATAGCACTCAACATGTCCGCCGTGAATGCCCTCGGGGCGATGGGAGAGGCAGAGGTCCGTCGATGCATCTGGCTCAAACTGATTCGGAGATACAGTATGTTGGCTGGGGTCACTTTTGGCCGACCCTGCCGGCAGCTCAATTGCAGTCGTTTACTTCATGGCTGCCAGGTGTTTGAGTGCCAGCATGTCCCTCGAGAATTATACCAGCGAGCTGTCCGAGGAGATATTCACTGGCCACAATGAGATCGATCTGACAGACAGGCTGGGCATGCCCATCGCGGGGCAACCTGCCGATCCTGAGTTTGTCTGGAGTTTCCAAATGCCCGCCGAAGGAGATGACGAAATGGCGGCGCCACCCGTGGATTCAGAAGCCACTGCCCCTGCAACAGAGGAGGAAGTACAGTGGATGCTTTATCCTCGGGTTATTGGTAATCCGACAAACATGAAATTGAGTGATGATGACCCTTTGCGGGGGAAGCCGCGAGATGCGGGCGATCTGTCTGAGCGCGCCCAGTGCGAGCTCGGCCACGGCGAAGGACTTCAGTACTTGCTTCGGGCCGCTCCATGAGCCGCCTGGAGCGATCGGCAAGCCGCGGGGCCTGGAGACGCAAGTATCGCGCCGACGACGATGACGAAGAATGGGGAGATGACGCGCGTCTGGGACATCGCGGTCGGGCCCGCAGTGGCTCGCCCGACCGCGCGCGCGCGCTCCAGCGGCGCTGGCTCCAGCGGCCTTCAGCCCCCTCATCCTCTTGATGCGAGGAAGCCAAGGCCCCCCCCCCAAAAAAAAAAGAAAAGAAAGGGCAGTGGACCTCTGGCGCCCCTCCGAGGAGGGGGCGCTTTCGGGGGCACCCGCGTCGAAGGGGGGGACCTCGCGAATAATATCCAGAAGACGAAACACACTGCCTTGTTGACCGCTCGGCTGCTGGATTGCCTCGTTAGTACATAGACACAGATACGATGCGACACTGGTTGAACAAGGGTTGGACTGAGCACCAGACTCGCCGCTGGTATTCTCTTCGCAAGGTTGATGGAAATGAAGAAGGCAGAGTCATTCACGCAAGCAGGTAAGGGGCTGTCAAATCGCAAGAAGCCCGTGCAAAGCGCGTCTCCAAGAGGGCCATCATCGAGGAACGGGAATTTTACAGAGGAGTTGTTTGCGCATGCTTCGAGCATGCCGACCACAGGCTCGGCTGCCCCATGAGACGTCCATCAGGGAGCCCCAACTTCCGCAAGACACCGCGGGTCCGGTCTCACGGCGATGGCTGGGGTCACTGCGCCGATCCGAATACAACGCCATACGACGAGCAGTTGACGGAAGGTGACTACGAACAAGCTACTACAGCCCAAGAAATATCCCAACCTATGAAGAGATGGAACAACCTTTCACCTGTTCATTTTTCCAGATGTTCAACCGCGATTGGAACGCAGGGGAACCTGATTTGCCCAAACCAGAAGAAGACGACCAGCAAGAAGATGCCGAAGCTGAAGACATGGCCGAAGCGGTAGACCCCGCGGCAGCAGCTCCTGCAGGGCACGGCTCGGATCACTCTGATTCCCTCTCCACTGTCACGGGCGTCATTTTTGAAACGGACACCCCCATTGACCCCGTGGACATCGTCACGGAAGACATGGATCTTTCCCCAGGAAGAGAAGTCGCTCACCGCGCTGGATCTGTAGGTTGGGCAAGGATTACGATTGACAAAAGATTTAGCGCTACACTAAATCTAACCGGTCCATGAGGGGCAAGGTTACTATCGGGAATATGGCACTCAGAAAGCCTGATGGAGAGGACCTCGACCCTGACAGAGGTCCCATGCGATATGAGCCATGGGCACCTGCAGGGGCAACGCCAAAGGCACCTCTCCCTAAGACAAGGACCAGGTCAAAGACAGATAAGCTTGTTATTGTGCCTGAATATTTGTTCAATCCTTCCCAGGTCAACTGGCCCTGACCACCTCTGGCCACCGCCTCAACAGAAGAAGAGGAAAAGCCCGGGTGACCCCAATCCTGGAGATAGCAAGCAACGGCGACCTGCGGGGCAACCTGCTGATCGACGTCGATCCAGGGGGCCAGCTGCGGACGCCGCGGCAGCTGCATTGAAAGGCGCCAGCGCTCCTACTCCAGAGGACCCTGTACCACGA